CATAACAAGCCAAATTGAATAATGTAAAATTTTTCGAAATTCGTTGGAAAATAAGGGAGTTACGGTAGTTTCAATTGTCAGAAAATTTTGCGGTAAGACCCAAAAAATCTGAATTTCTGAAAATAGTCTTGTTTATACTCATTTTGAAGCTCCAAACAAGACATATCCACAAATATATTGATTTTAGAAATCGAATGAAAGCTTAAAGAGTTACGGTACTTCCCATTTTCGATATAAATAGTTAATCTAAAATTAAAACTGCCGTAACTTGGTCAATTTTGACCGGATTCAATTTTTTTTAAAATTTTCCGCATTTGGCGCGTTGTGAGCTTCAAAATGAGCCCAAACACGACTAGGCTCCGCCCACTTTGAAATTTCACCTGGACACGCGACGCACCGACCGCGACGCGTCTGATAAATCAAAGTGAACGGAACCTAGTCGTGTTTAGGCTCATTTTAAAGCTAACAACAAACAAAATCCACTCAGATAGATAGAAAATCAAAAGTATTGCAGGAATTTCGACAATTTGCGTTTTTCCAAAAATTCCGAAAAAATTGAATTTTTTATATTTCCCATCATTCTTCAAATGTTTCATATTTTGATGAAAAATTTACATTGATGACAATGAGAGCTTCAAAACGAGCTCAAACTCGACTAGGCTCCGCCCATTTTGAAATTTCACCTCGACACGCAACGCACCGACCGCGACGCGTCTGATAAATCAAAGTGAACGGAACCTAGTCGTGTTTAGGCTCATTTTAAAGCTAACAATAAGCAAAATCCACTCAAATAGATAGAAAATCAAAAGTATTGCAGGAATTTCGACAATTTGCGTTTTTCCAAAAATTCCGAAAAAATTGAATTTATTATATTTCCCTTCATTCTTCAAATGTTTCATATTTTGATGAAAAATTTACATTGATGACAATGAGAGCTTCAAAACGAGCACAAACTCGACTAGGCTCCGCCCACTTTGAATTTTCGAAAGCGCACGCGACGCACAACCGCGACGCCCCTGAAAAATCAAAATGGGCGGAGTCTTTTCGTGTTTGGGCTCATTTCAAAGATCTTGGTAAAACAAAAACGTTGAAATCATTTATTTGAGAAAACATCAAAGTTTGTATCTGGAAAAATTTTTGATTAAATTAATTTTTTCAAAAGTTCTATTAGTTAACTAATTATCTCCTTTTCTTTGTCTCTTCGGGACACAATATTTCATTGAGCACGTGGATATGACGGTCGATCAAGTATTGGGTCTAAATTAAACATTTTTTGGATTTTTTCAAAAATATGTTCAAATATCTCACCTCAAAATCATCGTCATCACTTCCAAACGGATTGACAATGACTTGAGAAATGCGTAAATATGCTAAATGGATCATACTCAATGGCAATGTACTCATACACTCCACAAACATTTCAGAGAGTCCCGATGTGTTGCTGGTTCTGGAAATTTGAACTTCTAGAATTTTATTTTTAGGGTTTTGGAATTTTACATTTTCTATTTAGCGTTGAAACCGGTCTCAATGGATTTCGCTTGTTGAGAGCTTTAAAATGAGCCCAAACACGACTAGGATCCGCCTACTTTGATTTTTCAGACGCGTCGCGGTCGGTGCGTCGCGTGTC